CAGTCCCAGCCCTAAAATCGGGCGTATACAAAACCATGGAAGTTATATACATTCAACCTTAGATGGGTAACCAAGAAGTAGGCCAACCATCTTAACAAATTTCACAAAATAGGCGGCCTCGTAAAGTGCCTGGATACACGAAGGTTAACAAAAGGAAACGGGTGTTATGGCTAGGGCTGACCACCTGTTTGGTTACCTACAGAAACAGACATAACATAGAGTAAGCCAGGCTCAGTGAATAGTAATACTTAAGTAAAAAAGTGCTTAATGTGAAACATAATAGATCAATGCGTATGAAAGTGCACACATAGTTAGTCTGATTCTGTACATATTTCATAACGGCTTTAGGCCCATTCTTGAAACGTAATGACTTGAAACATAATTTCTTGAAACATGATAGCTATAAGCCCTTAAACGTAGTGGTACAAAGCCCTTAAACATGGTGGCGCTAAGCCTTTGAACATGGTGGCACGAGGCCCTTGGATAAGTTGGCATTAAGCCCTTGAATCATTTGGCATTAAGCCCTTGAATCATGCTTGTATGAACTCCAGAGGTGTCTCACACGGACTCTAGAGGTGACTCACATCGTAGCACTTAGTTCCGTGTAGCACTTTGTTTCATATCATAATAACAGAACAACTTGATTTCAGAGTCTTACAAAACGAACATATTTCGTCTTTCCCATTTCTTTCTTTACATACTTTGAAACATTAGCATTAGCATAGTTGCATATCGTGCGTGAATACCATACTCATGACAATCATTAGCTACGTGTGAAGCATATAATGGTACTACTACTCACAGTGTGGTAATGATGTGCTTGTTCCTCCCGGAGTGTGTCCTGCATACATTTACAACTTGCAAATAAGCTCACTTTTCTTTGTTAAATCATTTCCAGGGTCATTACACTTCAATTGGATTTAACACACATTTATACGTATAAAATATAGATTTTAACAATATCCGAGAGTCCAGCACGCGAAACGGAGCAGACAGTATTTTTTAGCATGAGCCGCACGTGCGGCTATGAGCCCCGCACGTGCGGCAGTTGGCCCCGCACGTGCGTCCTTGAGGTCCCACACGTGCCTTTTAGGCAGAACCAAAACCCAAAAATTCAACATTTGCCGCACGTGCGGCAATGACTCCCGCACGTACGGCGATTCCCCTGTTTGGTCCGAAATTTGCAACAAAATCTTGTTCTTTTGGGGGTATTTGAAAGGCTCTAAGTTGAAACTTTTAAGTGCTAGCTCATGGTTTAAAAACATGTAATTAAAGGTACAACATACCATAATCTAACTTGAATTAAACTTATGAACACAACTCAATTGGTTTGAATAAAAGTTGAAGCTCATTAACACAATTTCATTCCTGAAGCTCTCAGCTTTATACACACATAGCATAGATATACAAAAGCATGGCATAAGCATGAATCCCAATTGAGAAGTAAAGAGACAAGATGATGCTCCTACTAAATAACTTGAGTTGGATCCAAAATGCACAAATAGGATTATCATACTAAGTCTTCAACAGACACACATCCAAGACTTTCATTCTACTCTAGATCATACAACATCAAGAACTTCCCATTTCAAATTGAGGAAGATGATTGGACTAGGGAAATTAAACTTACCTTAGCTTCAATCTCTCTCAATTCTTCCTTGTTCTTAGCCTCTTTTCACTTTTCTCCCAGGGAATATGTTATAAGGAAGTTCCTAAGTCTTGAGTTTAAAGGGGCTTCTATAGACATACATATATATAGATTGAATAAGGACAAAAATCAATCGTTTAAACATCCAAAATTGAAATTTCCCAAACATGCTTAATATTACCTAAAAATTATGATGATCACATATATAAAATCAGTTTCAGATAATTAAGCCTCTAAAGCTTCCAATTTCTGATTCAAACATTCTAATATAATAGATACTTTTCTTGTTTAAACAGATAGACACCCTTAAACATGGAGTTCCCTTACTTAACCTTAATTTCTCATAGGCTTTCACAATAAGCACTCAAAACACAAAATAGGGTCTGAAAGCATATCAGAAAACATGCACGAGGGTTGGGTTATTACAAATTTGGTATAACCTTGAAACCTTCATCTCTCTCTCTCTTCTCTCTCTCAGACTTACGCCTCACCTCTTCTCTCTCCTCGCTGCTCTGCTCTCTCTTTTGTCGATCTAGCTCGATCAATCCAAGAAGCCCTATATCAAGAACTCCTCGGCTCCGGCGAGCTATTATCCCGAATTGCAACCTCAATTGTTGACTTTTGACTTCACGAAACCTAATCTGCTCAACTTGAACCCCAAAAGCAGCGAGATCACGAAGGAGACCTTCAGTATATCGCAATCTTTGTCATCGACAAACTAGTCATTCATGTCATCATTGATCAAATTTTTGCCTAAATCGATGTCGGATATAGACAAGCTGTAGCCGATCTTCAACGGCCTGAACTTAATATGCAATTTGTTCTAATTGCACCCTACGAACGGACATGAAAACAACGTCTTCCTTCGATTACAATAGCTTGTCTTCTTCGTCTCCTTCCAGTTTGGCTACAGCCTCAGGCGTCTTGACTGTGGGTTAGGTTTTGGGTTGGATTTGAAGAAGAGAGAAAGAAGAGAATAGGGATAGAAAGAGAGAGAAAGATAGTCTACGTGGATTGAGCCAAACTGGAGTGCTCCAGAGTCCAACAGAAGGGGGTTGTAGAGAGAGAAGGTGGAGAGTCCAGAGAAATTTCCTTTATCCCATGTAAGCTCAATCTTATTGTTTATGATTTCTATGAGCATTTGAGAATCCAATAAGATTTGAGCTTTAACAGCTTTTTTATTTTTGAATCAAAGAAAATTTTTCTCTGGTTTGGTATAGAGAAAATTCAGTCCAAACTAGAGATGGACCAACCCAATTTTCTCTAAAGTAGAGCACTAGAAACCAGAGAATTTCTTTGGACCAACCCAATTTTCTCTGCAGAACACTAGTTCAACCCAGAGAATTTCTCTAGACCAACCTAATAGGGGTGGGCAACGGTTTACCCGAATTGCTCAAACCGCCCAAACCCGCATATAAATGGGCAGTTTCGCAAACATAATGCGGGCGGATGCGATTTGAAATATGACAAATTTGCGGGTTGCGGGCGGGTCACGATTTAAACCTGCAACCCGCAACTCGCAAAAATCGCACGCACTTTAATTATTATTATTATTTTTTATATACCAACTTTGTAACTTTTACAGGAGTACCATTATGTTCTCTATGATGCTAGGATTCTTATTTTTAAGTATTTCTCAACTTTCTTAATGCCGTAGAATTATCAAGTCCTAAACTTGGTTTCTTATATGATTTTCATTGGTGATTCATCCACTTTTTCCTAATAAAATTTTCCTTCTGGTGGCCGATAGAACTTCTAGTTTGATTATTGATTATTGAACTGACAATTCTAATTGAGTACAACCTTTAATGCATTGATATACATTTTTTTCATGGCAAAAATGCTAGTGTAGGGTCTCTTTGTTTTGGATATTTTCATTTAATGCATTGATATTCAATTTTTATTTGTAAACTCATCAGAAAATTATTATCACAAATATATAAAACGAATCTGATGCCTAAATTCGATGGAAAAAAAAAACTCAAAAATTAATTTTTAAAGAAAAAAATATAAACTGCAAACTGCCCGCAACCGCCTGCACATTTGCAAACCCTATTCGCACAAACCGCAAACCGCACTGCGGGCAGTTGCAGGTTGACTTTTTTCCAAACCGCATAGATGCGGGCAGATCAAAACCGAACAGCAAACCGCACAAAACCAATCTGCGAACACCCCTACAACCCAATTTTCTCTAAAGTAGAGCACTAGTTCAATCTAGAGAAAATTTAGTCCAAATCAGAGAATTTCTCTGGACCAACCCAATTTTCTCTGAAACAGAGCATTAGTCTTTATTGTTGTCCAGAGAAATTTGGAATTTTCTCTGTGATGTGTCCAGAGAAATTTGAAATTTTCTCTGTAATTTGTCCAGAGAAATTCTCTGGATCGAATTTTCTCTAGATTGATGTTGAGGGACCTTAGACATCATGAAAATATTGAGTATACTTTATGTTATAAAATTTTAGGGCTGGTTTGGGGTAACCTGAATCAGCCAAAAAGTCAAAAAGTTACTCAAAAATCTAAAAAGATATCACTATTCATCAAAAAAAAAAATTAAAAAATTAATTTCTTTCAAAACAGGTACACACGGAATTGACAAATAGTCAACGGCTGTGTGCAGCAGTGCAGAGCAAAAGAAATGATTGGGTGTGATTTTTATACACACCGTTGTTCGTCCCATGGGGCCATCACGGGTCCCGTTTTGATAATCTGAACCGTTCAATATGTAGAAATCGTTGAGTAATATATGTCTACCAAAAATCACATTAATCGGATATCGATAACTATATGATCAAATCAGTTATGTACAACAAATGGATGGTGTTATAATTCATGATTGAAAAATAAATAAATCTAATCAGATAGCTATCGATATCCGATTAACATGATTGTTTGTCGGTACATAGTGTTCGACGAGTTACACACATTGAACGGTTCAGATTATTAAAATGGGACCCGTGATGACGCCCACAGGCCAAACAAAACCGTCCAATGCTTTGTACAAAAATTAGCCAATAATTTCCAACCCCAATACACGGCTGCATTGTGTACGGCTGGGGCCCACCACTCTCTAATCATCTCTTACACATTTTTTTTATACAATTTTTTAATACACATTTTTTCATAAAAATCCAAAAAGTTAACCAAAATCTCCATATTTTTTTCTCAACTTTTTTAGTCCAAAAAGACAAAAAGTACACTTTTTTAGGACACCCCAAACCAGCCCTTAATACCAGTGACCTTAAAAAAAATTCTCCAAAAATATAAACCTGAAATCAACTTTACTAATATTTTTGAAACAATATTTTCGACCCCAAAAAAATAGAATTCGATATCGACCCGACCCGTCCCGACCCATTAACGAACTTGCTTCCTCAACATGTAACAGTAGTATCATCCAATCACACAGATAGCTCTAAAACTTGAAATCACACAGAGAGAAACGATTTTAGCAGTTGATTCAGTTGTTTCTGACTGGAAATCCGCGGAAAAATGGAGGCTGAGGAAGCAAACAAAGCGGACTCATCACCATCAACAACAACAACAGCAACAACCGACTCAGAAACCCTAGTTTCAGCAACCGAACCCAATCAGCAGCCGACACGTCACCAGAATCCTCTGCTAGCTGTAGAAGCAGGAGGAGAGAATCGAATCGGGGAATCGAAATCGATTTCTTCGTTAGACCAGAAGGAGATCGTGAGAGCTCTGGAAATCTTGGAGAGGGACTCGGTGGCCATCGCCGAGAGCTTCACTTCTCTCTTCGCTTCTCTCCGTTTGGCTCTATCCGAGGTCAGTCAGCTTCATACGTAGCTTCTTAAGTTTCATGTGTTTCACTCACAGCAAATTTTGTATGATTTTTTTATTCATATTGTTGTGTTGATCAGAAGAGGGGACAAGAATGAAAATTGTGCATTGTTTTTGGTAGACAATGTGTCTTTTCTCTTCAAACGGTGCTGTTTGTTTAGATAGAAAATAATTACCGGAAGGTTTGATTTCACTTCACCATTTTTCTTCATTTCATGCTCAACTATTAATTTCATCTATTAAACATCTAACTGGACAGCTTAAATCATACAAAGAAAATAAGTCTATTAAATTGGCTGTGAGGTGTATTTTATTCAAAATAGTAAGGAAAACAGGTGTTTTGTTGTACGATTAAACTTGAAACAGTTTTTTTTTTAAAAATCAAATTAGGCTTCAACGGTTATTGATTTGTATAATTGTCTCTAATTCGACCACATAAACTAAAATTGTAAAATTTAGGGATTAGATAAATCACATTGATAATTTGGGGATGAAGTGGAAAAAATTGGTGATGGGTGTCTTTATTGATTTTTTTTCTTTTTTTTGGGGGGATAAATAAACAAAACTTTATTAGGACAGCATCAAGACGATGTAAAGAATACAAAAAGAGTCAACGCAAAAAAACCTAACTAATCAAAAAAATGTTAATCTTGAACAAAAACCTAGTTTAGGGAGTATTTGAAGTATGCAGGTGGTTGGAGACTTGGACCATATGTTTGTCATTATTGAAGTATTAGATGGTTGTGTAATTGGATTTTAGACTTGAAGGTGAGCCGTGTATTATATTGGTGATTCTTTTGCCTCTGGAACACAAATTTGCTGGCAGTTTACCCATTTTATCAAACATCCATACGAGCCATAGGTTGATCAAATTCAAGATCTATATTGAGTTTGAAAAACTATGTGTCATATACATAATCAAAATATGCGGGAGGTTGTGTGTGTGTGTGTTTTAGAATTGGGTTTTTTATTGCAGTGTGCCTATATGACAGGACAATGTAATTTTTGCAGGCAACAAGCACTTCAGTTGATCACATGCATTGCTTCAGTGATGCTGCGGGCCGACTTCAAGAATGTGGTAAATAATGGATTGTTCTAAATGATATGGTGGTTAATTTATTTATCTGTTTGATAAATTCAAATGTTTTGGCAGAATTTAGATTATGAAAATGTTGGATAGCCATCCATGCGTTAGTTCCATCCATATGACCCGTCAGCAATCCAGTATGATTATGACTTCAATGATATCGTGGCTTGTTCACACTTCTTTCTCAAAAAGTGAAAAATGCTTTATTACTACTTTGATATAATAAAAATAAATATATTTGTAAATTAAAAACATGGGATTTGTAGTTACTTTCATGTATGTAAGAATGTGTATATGTTAGTTTTTCGTGCCCTAGCCTTGTCATTTCTTGATTTTAAAAAATTGTCATGTCAACCTAGCCCTGTTGCATCGTTTATATTGTATCCATATTCTGCGTCCGTGTTTGTGTTTCTTTGGTCAGTTTGCAAGTTGCTTGTGGTGAGGTAACATAAAAATGCTTACTAGTATTTTGTTGTTATTTCCCTCTGCGCCACCAAAATTCATCTTAAAGGAGGTGCTATTTGAAGAGAAATTTTCTTTAGAACTATAAATTTTATTTCGTAGCATGTTCAATGTATTGAAAACTTCTCAATATTGAATTATATTAATTTTCATTTTAGTTTAGTTTAGTTTAGTGCCTGGCTACATACTATCTCCTTCTGGCCTCCACGTCATGTCCAGGGAGATCCTGCTACCTGGCTGCATTTTTTCCAGTTGTAGCTACTTGCTCTTAAAGAAGAGCAGGATGATTGTTGCAACGCTGCGGGGATAGTTTGGTCGAGTTTTTTTATTATTTATAAATAGAGCAGTTTCTTCTCGTGACTCCTGTATTTTTCCCCCCTAAAAAAGGGAGACGTTTCTTTCTTATATTTTGTTCTTAACTAAACTCAATAGTTTGCCAACTTAAATCACGGATCCTCTGATTTGAACTGTTTCCTTCTGCTTGTCTTACTTTGCAGCACTTGATGCAGCGACAAAAGGGAATCGGTATATAAATTCCTGTCTGAGGTACAGAATTTGATTTCACCTTGCCATTATGATAAATGCTGATGCAGGGACTTTTTGGCTTATTTTGATCAATTTTCCACAACTGTTCCAACAAGGATGTTTTTCTTAATTCTGCTGATTTATACTCTGTCATATGCATTTCTTAACAATTTTTGGGCACTCATTATGCAAACTATTTTGTTGGTAGTAATTTAAATTCAAATTAGATACCAAAATGAAACAAGCGAAGATATGAGAGTTTAAGTCTCATATGCACTCATCAGCCAACATAGGCACAGCCAAGGACTGATAGAGAAAATAAACCAAACCAAACTAAGCCTTCTGTCGCAATCAAATGGGGGTTGGCTACATTTTCTCCATGATGTTCTTTTAATAAAAACCCTGCAGGGCCATAGGAGCCTATCTTGTTGCTGCCAGTTGGTGACTCATATCAGGAGTCTTAAATCAGTTTAGAAAATGGGAGTACCTCACTGATGGAATGTCTATGACTTCTAAAATATTTTTTGAGTGTCTTCATTATATCATCAAATATTACAAATTTCCCATCTTTAGCAAGTTCCATTTGCTCTGACTATTTCTTATTTGGAACTTATTGTGCAGATTGAACGAGGAAATGAAAGGCGTGGACAGTCTAGGCACACAACTGTATCCTTGGTTTTGCATGTGTTCAGTCACACACATCTTATCTTCTTTTTACCTTTGTCAATGTGTATTTTTTTGTTGTTGCCAAACTTACCCTTACACAAGGATCCCACTCCAATCTTGTATGGTATTTTTTAAGGCTCAAGGTTGGAGTGGTTGAAATCCGTTTTGTTTCTTGTATCATATATAAATAACATGCACACATTCACACGAAAGGGCCATAGAACTCGAAACCTATGCTCAACACACTCAAGGAAAATTGATGGTGGTTCATTAATTTTTTTTATAGCATTTACTCAAATCTTTTCATTTGTACGATGATTTTTCCACGTTGAAATTCAATTGCTTCCTTAATATCCCTGTGAAGAAAAATCTTGCGGAGGAATGTTGATACTTTGGACTTGGCTGTGAATAGGCTACTCCGGCTTCCATGATGGTATTGTGCTTGACACTCAATTCTCTCAATTAGAAAGGCTACTTCAAATTTCATTTTAATGTGGAAATTAATATGCTAGTTTTACTTGGGGTATTATTTTTACTGATATTATTGTTTTGGGAATTCGGGTGGTTGATATTACAGATGTTTTTGAAAATGCTAGGAAGAAAAACAAACTGATGCATTGTTTGAACCACTGCAGCGTGTGATTCTGTTTTTGTTTTTGTATTTTGTTTTATGAATATTATTTTGTTATTATTATTTTTATTTGGGGTCAGGGATACAAAACATGATAAAAGATGAAGAAACAAAACAATAGGGTAATTAGAAGTGGATGGAAAAAAGGCAGCCTTTGAGCTTTAGCCCAATTATGTGAAGCCCATATTCAAGCAAATTTAGCCCAATTATTTTCGTTTCATAAATAAACATCTCTAAGATTGTAATGTGTCATCAAAACTTGGAATATATGGTTTATAATTATCATGTCATTATTAATTTTATGACTTATATTGATTTATTTTTAATTTAAAATTAAAATATTGGTAATAAAATGGAAATATCTCCATTTTATCTTTGAAGTGGAGATGATGTGTTGTTCTCAATCAGATTGTGCGAGGAATTGGCGTATATCTCCAAAAAAAGGCAACCCATTTGTCAAGAGTCAGAAAATTTAATTTCATTCAACATTAAAGATTGTTGGCTTTATTGACACACTTGTATCTGTATATTTTTGGCAGTTTGTTATTATGTATATACTAGCGGATGACGCAAACGTGATGGATTTATAAGTTTGTAATAAAATATAGGATTGTTTTGGGTATGATTTGTAAGTTGATTTTTTTGTTTATTATGAAAAGACGTGTAAAAAAATAAAGAGGTGATGATGTGATAAAAATAATTCAATAAGCAACCTATTTCTTGTGTCTCATATTAGTAATTTTCACCATTTAGCATAAATTAAATAAGTGCAATTATTTAGGTAAGTACACTTATTTAGGTCATATTATTTTTTTATTTTTTTACATATCTTTTCATAAAAATAAAAAAATATATTTATTTAAATCATTTTAAACACTTCCGAATGCATGCCATTGTTTCACAAAGTGACTTTAATTCGACTACAAGTACATGAACTCTTAATCTGTAATCAAAGTGGGTTTTGGGAAAATAAAAAGTACTTTTTGAACTAAACCACAATGAGACGAAAAGGAATAAAACTAAAAAAAGAGGGAAAACAGTGACATGAGTGGGGTTTGATACTAATAAGTTAGGCCTTTTTTGGGACCAATCCAGTTATTAATGGTTTTTGTTTTTCCAAGTCAAGATAATATATATTATTGCAAATAAAGAGAATAATATAACAAGGACAGTCATTAACTAAATTTACAAATACAAACAAAGAAAACCATATAGGATGAGTAGTCTCTAATCTCCTCACATCTCAATACTTGAAAGAGAGAGATGGCATTACGATGCTACCATGTTGCAGATCTATCTGAACCACAACCCTAATCATTAGTATTTCATTTGGCTAAAACTAAAAGGTCAGCTTATTTATTTGATTTGTTCTTGTCGTTATTTAATTTTAAAAATTTTGAGTTATTATTATTATTATTCTTTTACTTTTTAAGCCTATATTGACTTGATGATCTTCTAATTTTGAGTTTCTTATGAAAAAAGCTAGTGTAATTTATGTTAAAATTATGAGGTTTACGCTTTCTTATTTGCTTTGAGTTGGACCATTGAAAATGACCTGGTATAAGTTTCAACGTGTTTAGTATATATCTTAAGAAGCTTAAGAAAAAAAGAAAAAAAAAAAACCCAAGCAAAAAATAAATAAATAAATAAAAACATAAAACAAATAATGCACAATTTTGGCAAGTTAGTTAAAAGTCAGTTTTTTTATTTTTTTATTTTTAGGTCATTTACTTCTCTATTTTTTTGCACGTTTTTTTTAAAAAAAATTTAAAAATGAACTTTTAACCTACTTCCAAAAGAAATATGTTTGAGGGTCCGAAATTGTTTGGCTCGAAACTCAAAATGACGTCGTTTTGGATTCTCTTACCGGTAACATGTAATAAAATTCTCTTACCGGTAAGATATATTACAATTCTCTTATCGATAAGATAATCCAAAACAACGTCGTTTTGGATTCGGGGCAAATTCAAGCTTAAAATGTTCAGACCCTGTAGCAGCGTTGCTTCCAAAAATAGGCCATAGTATGCAAACATGTAATCAAAACCTTTAAATTTAAGGTAAACAGTCTTATTTAAGAGATAATCAGAGGGTGTCCATGTAATTTACTCATAATAAGGGATTACTACATGTTAGTGAAGTCAGAAGAAGTTTACATTTATGGAAAAGTTTACAAATTTAATTATTAAAATGTATAAAATTTTTCATTGATTTGATTTTTTTTTTTTTTCTGGAAAGTTACACTGGGAAAATTATTCATTGCTTTTAGGACATGTTGATGTGGTATTCTAACTTAGTTTTTATTGATTGAAATAGCAAGATCCATCATCTTTGGACAGTTCTTTAATAAATGGTGTGAAGCAATACTCTAAGACTAACTAATAACTTTTCCTATTATTGTGTTATTTTTCTTAAATTTAATGGCTTTATTTGATTTGTCTCTTGAAAGACAATTTAAAAAAAAAACTTCAAAATTTATTTAATTAAAAATTTTTGAAAAAAATAATTTAAAATTACTTTTATCTTTGCTGGATATCAATCAATAACTTTTACACACGTTCACCTATTTAACTAAAAAAATAAATAAAATCCCAAACTTCAAACATGGCAATATCTCACTGTCAAAGTTCAGAAACATTGAGGGGCCATGGTACGACCCATTAAATAGTAATATTTATTTGGTATTAGTGAGGCGAAGGTTGAACATTCCAACCTAAATTAGTAAGAAAAAACTTCCACAATTGCATGATTGGGACAAGAAGTCTTTATTCGTGTCAATTTAACAAAAAAGTCTGATAATCTTAGGGATGGCAAGGGCCGGGTGGAGTTAGGGATCACAATTCCTGTTTCCGATCCTTGATAATGAAAATTCTCTCATCCTCGGCCTCGATCCTTGACGTGGAGCCTATTACCATCGCTGCTTCCACCCCTAACAGGATCAGGTTTCTCCTAAAAAAAATAAAAATAAATAAAACACAACAAAACAACAGCCACAGATCTACCATACCCTGGATATTCGCGGGCTTGCTTCTCCGATCTCTATTTCTTTTACCTGGACAAGGAGAAACAATAATGAAACAGTGCATTGGGTTGCAAAGGCTTTTCTAAGTCCTTGTAAATTGGGTTGTATGCCCACCTGCTACTCTTGTCTCCATACTCATTTATGATACTCTTGTCTCCATACTTATTTATGATATATCCCATTTTCCTCTTTAATTGAAAGTTTGGAAGTTCAAAAAAAACAAAAAACCTACCGTACCCTCTGCATTTGATGCTTCTCTTTAAACCAGAGAACAAACCCACCCAAGAACCCTTTAACCCTGGGTTTACAATTACTCTCTCTCTATTAAACCATCTATATACATTCTTTGTGCATATATATATATATATGTAATAATTGTGTTGATGGCTCAATTGTTTGAGTACTTGCTTTACTATCAATATATATATATATATATAACTCAGATCTGGGACTTCCATGGCCAATTAACAAGCAATCATGAAGCATTTTTTCAAATCCATCTCTTTTTCTCTCTCCTCTCCATTTTTCAGGGTTTCAAATTTTTGGCATCGATTACTCGAATCATCTTCCGAAACAGAGACTAATTAAAACCCTAGAGGAGAAAATGAAGCCCAGATTTGCAACCAAGGCCCATCTACTGTGCTTTGTGGATCTGCGATTTGTGTGGATCGCTCACGGATCTGTGTGGATCAACTCAGATCTCGGCTTACAACATTAATATCTACGCCGGCGGAAGAAGATGCGGCGGTAGGGAAATGGGAAGGGCTGTCGATGTTGGTGGATCGAAGAGGACGGTGGCGATAGAGTCCGCCAACAGAGAGAGAGAGAGAGAGAACAAAGCACAGAGAATAGAGTTTGGTTTGATTCAGTGCTGTTTGGTTTAGAGAAATGTTGTCGTGCTCATCTCTAAACATATGTATATATATACACACACACGAGGTACCTATCACTGTCCCGGCCAGAAAACCATAGGTGATCTAATTTTTAATACTAGCCTTGGCCTTGTAAGGGTAATTTTTGAGAAAAACCTGGCTATCGGGGAGGGGCGATTCGGGTTCCCGTTGGGCTGGGTTGAAATTGTCATTCCTAGGTAATCTAGACTTATCAACTCAGATTTTTGAGGGTTGATATTTGTTTGGCGGAAATTAAGATTGTGTAGTTTGGGATTTACATATAGAATAAATTTGAATTACAAGATGATAATTCTAAGGGTAAATTACACTTATCTTTGCTGACGTTTTTGACAAATATAAGAATCTCTCTTGTGATTTTAATAATTACAATAACTTCTCCTACTTTACCTGACAATGCCAAGATTTCCCAATGTCGTCTATTTTGCACGAACGACATTAGTAGCCTATGCAAAATGACCATATTATCTTTGTTTTCGCCTGGGAAAAGATGAAAATAACGGAGAAAGAGAAGTCAATCCAATAAGAGCTTTCACTTCTAGTCCTATTGGCTGACCGCCCTATCAAATCTACCAAAGAAACTGAATCCTCCAAGTCTGACTGCATCGATCTTGTCAAGCAAACCGACTTTCTCTCTTTCAAGCTCCGATTTACCGTCTGCCACCACCACCACCACCATTACCACCACGGCCAAGTCGTCTCTTTATGAGCACCTCATCTACCGCAGTGCCATTGACGTCTCCAAAACCCTGGAACAAGCTCTCACCTTAGTCCGCAAGTGCAAGCGGAGTGGCGTTCTTCGGCAGGTGTTCGCCATCACCACCAGCGCCGACTTTTGCAAGGTCCCCAGCCTCTTGGAATTGTCCATCACTGACGTCAGTTGGCTCCTCTTCATCGCTAGCAACGACCCCATCCTGGCCATACTTTGGTTCTCCATCGCCTCCATCCAAATGGGGCGTATCCTCCGTAACGGCATTGACGCCGCTAACAACTTGGCCTTCCTCGGCCGCGACAACGATTACAACAAGAAAATGATAGTTAAAGAAGGTGGAGTTGTACCCTTGCTCAAGTTGTTAAAAGAAAGGGTTTCCCCTAATGCTCAATGGCTGCCTCCACTACTATTTTCTACTTGGTTAATGATCAGGACACGGTCCGATCCATCGCCTGTGAGCTGGTTGTACCTTTAATTGTTAAGGTTCTGGCTGATTCCCCCATCAAAGTTAAGGTTTTGGCCACAAAAATTCCCTTTGTTCACAAAAGACGAAATTCCCTTTGGTGAGCCTCGTTGAGTCAACGACTATGACAACAACGCAAAAACGGCAAGAAATTCGACGATTTGACACATTTTTGCAATGTTTCGGAGCCTA